TACCCTCTTGTTACTTTTGACATGAAACCGGTGGTTATTAAATGGTGACATTCATAACTTGGACCAACCTAGCCTTCTACTTGTGAGGAGCTACTAGGTTAGGGTTAACTCACTCACTTGTGTAACACAGTCTCCCCCAATACTAACAACCATGAGGTGTCATATCCCTAATATAGCCTCCTTATAAATCAGTAGAGACTAGTTATGTTTGAGTCCTTCAAAGGACAAGTGAGACAGTCCTGAATCAACTATGAGACAATGGCTACCTCCTGATTTTAACAGTTAGTGCTAAGGCAAGCTTCCGATTCCAACGATAAATCGCCAGTATCATGTGAATTTACCAACTTACTCCTCTCCCTAGGAGAACTCCCACCAATGATTATGTCATGCACATATTACACATATTATGTCATTGTAACAAAATTCACAACCTCATATCTTATTCACACCACCATTTTCTCACTCAAACAAACTCCACATCTTAAATATTACATATAGCACATTTTCATAATAATATACTTGCAAATTATCATCATGGATCATATGAATAACATGTATACCATTATCCTGGACAACTCAACATAAGTCACATACACAACATCACATTCCCAAAAATTGTATCAAAGAGTTTTTCGAACACCTATTAAGTTCTAAATAATCTCATTCAATAAATAATTAATTAACATACAATTGTACAAATAAGATTTTCCTTTGTTACCTCAAACCTTTAAGAGGTCAAAAGTTTACACCTCAAAACACAAGCTTCCAAAGCTTTCAAATTAGCTTGAATGGTGCTAGAATTAGACAATCTCGAATCAATTACAAGGACATTCATCAATATCCCTCTTTGAGTAATCTTCCCAATATTTAACTCCACATTGTCATTCCATCAACATCATAAACTCACTACCCATCATACCCAATAGATTTACTATGTTCCAATGGCCCATATTGTCATTAATAAGCCATTAAACCACTATTAATGGCATCAAACACTCCCAACAATCTTATTCACTGCTATTTTATGGTATTAATAGTCCCCAACCACTAACAACTCACAAAATCATAAATGTGGGATTTAAATACTCTAAACAACTCACATTATATGCATTTTAGTTAATAGGTTTATACTCATGGCTCATATGAATCAAAAATCACTCTTTTAACTTAAACCCTAACTTAACTTTGTATAAAAATGGAAGGAAAGGGAAGAAGAAGATATAATGTACTTACCTTGTGAGTTAGGAGGCTTTAAAATATCTCAAATAGGTTCTAAATTTGTGTCCTAGTAAAGCAACCTTCTTGCCTTTCATTTTCTCCTTTCCCCTCCTTTGATTTTTTGCATAGATATGAATTGGTTTAAGCAAGATTTTGGCTATGTGCCACGATGCCTGGCATAGAGAGGCTCAATTTAGATTGTTGCCTCTGTCCGTCACGGCAGATGTTCCTCACGCCATGGCATGTGGCACAGAGAACCTTTCTCGACTTTCTCCTCCACTTTTGATGCCCGGGTAGCCTTACTTCACTTTGAACTCGCATCTAAGGCTAAAATCATAAACAAGTACATAAATTAGACATCTTTGGCCACACACCACATTAGCTCGCTTAATGACCCTCATTAAACTTAATTAATTGGATTTAAATTTTTAGGATGTTACAGGACGTCTTAATGCTCGAGTACCTCTCCTCATTTTCTCCTCTTCGAAGGATGGAAATAAAAGAAAGTTAAATAAAAGGAAAAAGAGTGCTGTAATGAAAAGAGATATAAGTTGCCATGTGCTAGGATGAATGCAACAAATAAGTAGGGAAACCAAATCTCGAAACTTAGGAAATTGATACCAATAATTTGTAATGCCTTTTTCGTCATTACCATTCAATCTTCCATACAATCTAACAAAAAAGTTTTAAATCTTTTTAAAGGGTTAGGATCCCAACTTAAAGCATTTGAAAACCATTTCAAAAAAATACTCAAGTTGGAAATTAGTACACAGTTGAAGCACTCAAATAATGTGTATAAGAATCTCAAAAGAAACTAATTCCAAACAACATATTTTGGTCAAAACATGGGTCATGTGCCATAACATGTGGCATAGAGGCGTTGGCGTTGGCTTTATGCCGTGGCATGTTAGCACATGCACTATGGCATACACATCAGATTCTACTGTCAAAATAGTAGTTTTGATGTGAACTTTAGACGTGCACCATTTTCACATCTGATGTCTGATTGGAGTGATTCAAGTGCTCATACAAAGCTAATTTTAAAATCTAACCAATGACATTGGTTCATTTAAATTCAATATTCTATTTAAAAGTTGAAAACTCAAAGTGCATTTTGATCAATTTTTGTCAAAATCTTCCATTTGAGTATCACTATTTGACACCATAAGTCATTGGTCACTTCTAGGGCCTTAATCATGTCTAATGGAACAAATTATATCTGACTAACCATTTATATTCACAATATTACACATATACATACATTTGGCTGACCAACTGCCCATCACAAACACTTTGGGCAAAATCACATGTTTCCCTTCACATTCACATTAATGGCCAAATTTTCACTTTTATCACATGTCAGATATATTCACTAGCACATATACTCAAGCCCTAGCCCAAATCTTCATAGTCACTTCAATATACTTATATACATCATATAGCTCTAGATATAAAATCATGTACTCATTCACAATCAAAATGCTTATGCACAATTATATACTTCTATGAAAACTTATATACAAATACACAACTTATATAGCACAAGTTCATTACACCAACTTCTTACAATAGGTAGTTATAGAGATATATCCTCTATTTCTTACCCATATCTTTCCCTTTAGCACCATTAATATTAGAACCTATAAAAATATAAATAATCAAGGGTGAGATAATAATCTCAGTAACCAAAATAGTTTATTAAATGCTCGTTAACACAAATAATGACATATAAGTAAGCAAAACTAAAGTAATAGTTAGTATGTGTATCAAATGTAAGCATAAGTTTCCTTTTTTTGAATACTTCACACAATCACACACACAGCCACTAGCATGATCATCTATCCACCAATCCTCCAAACTTTCCGACTTGAAACCATAGACTCTAATGGATTAATTACATATTGACTCAGGCACTCCTTCAGTAGTAAAAACACTTGGCTAAAGGTATTTTATCCTACTTTTGGACTATGATTTTCCCTTCACACATACTTGTGTTAGAGGTGTCGTTGACTTCTAACCACGCCTTTCAGGTACAAGGGAGTTACCAGACTGCCTGGATGTCCTATGATAATAGTCCCAATATAGTGCTGCACCGGATATCCCATGGTGTCGCCCCACCATATCGATTTATTTACTCACATTTCCATACACGCATATCCACATATACCTAGGGTGAACTTTAACCCCTATGATTATGCCTTTCACATGCATAAATCACCACTTTTTCACATTTTACACTGTGTATATATATATATATTCCATTGAAAAGCTTTAATAATCAATAAACATTTCAAAGAAAAACTTTTAATGCTAAAGCCATTGCATGTTGTAAAATGCCACATTCATAAATCTCACAAGCATGAAAATCATAATTCATACATTTACTTTTATAAAGTTATAATAGTTAATAAATACATCAAACTGTATGGTTACCCCAACCTTTCTATTTTCAAGAAAGGTTACATTGCTCACACAACTTTTTTCGCTATTCCAACACGTAAAACATGAAAATCTACACAAAAATTGGCACTTATATCAATTGTCACATTAACTAACAGTACCAATTATAACAATTAAGCACCTAGACCTTTCATTTCCCCTATTTACATTCATCTCCATTTTCTACATTCAATTACCACTCATTGCAAGTATCAACACACTTATTTCTAAATTCCACCTATTTTCTCTTTTTGAACTTGACTAATTTGAATATACAACTTCAAAGCTTTATTGTTTAGGCTCAAACTAAGTGCAAAGTCCTAATTTAACTCTAAAGAACTTATTTGTTACTGCAAGGTAAGAAATTTACCCCCTTAAAACTTTCAGATTCAGTTTCTCACTAATTTAAACTAAGAGAAATTAGTGTAGAATCGGAGATTAAGGCGGTACAAGACTTATGCGGTAAGTAACAGGTTAAAAATTCTTCTCGAACTCTTAAAATGTCTTGCCCTAGCAGAGACCCTTCTTCTTTCCTCTCCTGCGTGCTCTTTTCCTCTGTTTCTTTCCTTTCTCCACGAGTTTTCCGCATCCTTATCTATCGTATTTTTGCACCATGAGCCGTGGTGCATTCAACACAAGCCATTGTGTGTAGCATAATGAGAAAACTCCTTACCATGCTCACACGTTTCGCTTCGCAACGGCATTCTTCCTCTCTAATCTTTCCATGTAACATTTCAAAATGTCAAAATAACATTCCGCCATCTAAAACCCCAATCACATATTAATTTATTAATTCACTCCTATTAACACTTAATTCAAGAATCATGAATTTAGGATGTTATACTATTAAATAAGGATAAATATGGAAAGATATGTTTAGTTTGAAGGAAAATAACTACTTTATTAGTAATGAGATTCGTTTAAAATATCTTATATTTTTAAACGAAAGGAGTATATAAGATTAATTTTTATTGGTTAGAACAAAATTGAAACACGTGTATTTTCACGGTCGTACTCCCTATCAAATAAAATATTAATATTTCCAATGTTCATCGTCAACATTGATCGACATGTTTTTTTTTTTTTTTGATAAAGTGATCAACATGCTTTTGTTTTTTGTCATCAGTTTAAGATTTTTGCAGGATTAATGGGTAAAATTGTACTACAATATAATATTTTATAATTATTTTTACTTCTAACCTATTTAGGCATGGTATAACATGACCTATAATTACAAGTTAACCGATGTGATGTGTGGCTTTTTGCACCATTTTTAAAATTGACGAGTAAAATTATGCCACACTTAACCCTGTTGATAGCTATGGGCAAAATATCTCACAGAACTTCTCAGATCATATGGGAAACATTTATGTCAAGAAAACGCTTATACACAGTTTCTGAGTTGCAAAAGGGCAAGCTGTAGTAATGGTATTGCAAATTTAACTCGTGAAATTGCTGAAAGTGGCTGCCTTCAGCTTTAACTCAGACTATGAAGAACGATAACGTACAAAATCAGAGGAGATTGGATACTTCGTCTTCGTCCTATTGGCGTCCATCAAATTGGTGACTTCTGAACTTGCATGTAGGAACCCAAGCTTTTGACAAGATTATCTCCATTTTGGGGTCAAAGATGAAAGATTGAAGACATAGTGGGGCTGAGGTTGTAATTTTGTCTTCAGGACGACTGGACGAGGGACCAAAAGTCGAAATCAGGGATTTTGGAGGGTTCACTCCCTTTTTATATATATATATATATATTGGGGGAGGGGGGAACACGCATACAAAAGGACCAATCTTCGTCCTATCTCACATTGATCTGCAAAGTACAGGGGGAGCAATGGAAGGAATGATGCAGAACCAAGTTCAGCAGCCGCAACAGCTACAGCAGCCTCAGCCAGCAGCGGAGAGGCTAAACCAGGCGGTGCAGCAGCAGCTCAATCTGGAACAAGTTAAGACCCGCGCCATCAGCCTCTTCAAAGCAATCTCTCGGATTCTTGAAGATTTCGATGCCTACGCTCGCACCAATACGAACCCCAAATGGTCTTCTTTTTCCACTCCTTTATCGTTTTTGATCTTGTTTTCTTGTTCGAACATTGTGTTTTGCTTTGGCAAATTATAATTTTGTATTGTAAATTAATTGTGCGTATTGGGCCTGAAATAACTCGCTCTCCCATTTGTTGTTGAATTGGAGTGGAACAGCGAGAGAGGAAATTGTTATATCTATTGTAGCTGGTTGATTTTCTGAAGATTTTCTTAGTTGCATACATCTATATTTTATGAAGAAGTTTGCTTTCTTATTACTATGTTGGTGACCTTTTGTTCTCCAGGCAAGATATTTTGGGGCAATATTCCATGGTGAACCTTGAGCTTTTCAATATCGTTGATGAAATGAAGAAGGTATCTAAGGCATTTGTTGTACATCCGAAGAATGTTAAAGCTGAAAATGCTACAAGTATGGTGTCTTTCCCTTGAAATTATTGATGCCTATATACTTATGTTGTTCATTAAGAGATAGGCAGATCTCCATTATTTTTGAGATCAAATGTCGATTGCATTATTGTATATGGCTAGTGTTGAAATTATGTTTTGACTATTCTCATAGGCACAGATTTTGGAGTTCTCGACCCATGTTTCCTGCTTGGGGGAGGGAAAGTGATGAGGATCATGTTTGATAAATTGCTTTGAAATTTCTCCTCAATATAGACTGTTGTGCTTGACATTTTTAAAATCTCAGAATTTATATGGGATTTTTTTCCTCCTTCAGTACTGCCTGTTATGCTTTCCTCTAAACTTCTGCCTGAAATGGAGATTGATGACAACTCCAAAAGAGAGCAATTGCTTCAGGGGATGCAAAACCTGCCAGTAACAACTCAAATTGAGAGATTGAAGGTGATTTGGAGCTCGTGGATTCTTCACATTATATTTTCAGCTATGTTTTGGTCACTAATATACTTATTTGCAGGCAAGAATTGATATGATAGCAGCAGCCTGTGAAGGTGCTGAAAAAGTTTTAGCTGATACTCGTAAAGCCTATTGTTTTGGAACTCGTCAAGGCCCTGCTATTGCCCCAACTTTGGACAAGGGACAGGCTGCAAAAATTCAAGAACAAGAAAATCTACTTCGAGCTGCTGTAAATGCTGGTGAAGGTAATTTTCACCTGCTGCTTTATACAAAATGGATGAATATGGTGTGTGCTCTTCTTTTATCCTTTAGTCTGCGTTTTTTTTAAACATGAAATCAATATCATGCTTCATTGCTGAAGGCTGAGGGAATTTCAGTAGGGGAAGATATGGGAGGCCAAGAGATCTGAGATGATGCTGCAGGAAGTAATGAGAAAGAAATGGCTATGAAAGGATTGGAGGAAATTATATTTTCATATATAAAATAAAAAACTTGTCGAATTAAAATACAAGCACCCCCAGTATGTGATAGTGTACATGTATGGGATAAGAAGTTGTGTCGTTTCTGTGGTTTTAGTACCTGCCATTGTGTTGTGGCTGTTACAATATTGGGCTGAGGCCCAGGCCCATGATCTGTGGTGGATAGCTCAGAATCATATACTATTAAGGTACTCCCTCCTAATCAAAATATAGGATATTGGTAACTAATTTACAATTTATGAAAAATGTTAGTTGAAACCTTAATTTTTTTTTTTAAAAAAAAAAAACTTACATCTTTTCAATTCCAATGCATCATTTTTTTTTCAAGAAGAATAATAAATGAAGTAGTGATATAGTTGGAAAAACAATTATAAAAGTTATCCAATTCTCTATATTTTGGACAAAGTAAGGCTTTTAGAAGATGCCCTATATTGTTGTTTGGAGAGAGTATATATAGTTTTGTTATGAGAAGAAATAAACTAAGATCAGATTACAGATGTTAGCACTTGATGGGAAATTGAATAGCATACTGTGGTATGGAAGAGGTGTTGTGATTGTCATGGATATGGCATGAAAAGTGTTCAAGCATAATTCTTCACTTTGGAAACATCTTCATTTTATTCCTTATTTGGTTGATAATTTTGTGGACTTAAATTATTAATGGGTATCTGAAGTTTATACAACATCCTCTAAGGTAACATACAAATGAAATTTGGAGCTGTAGAATCTTAGTTGTGTCAGGCAGACAGGTCATTTGTCAAAATAGTGGTTTAGATTCAAATTTTCTTTTTCATGAAGACAAGTTTGCTATATTTACACTATATAGTGTATACGTAGGGTCTAGCCTTGAATAAATAGACTTGACTACATAAATATATTAAAATATGCTTTATTCTGTGAAACTCAGTAGATAACAATTGCAAACACCCTTATAATATGTATTCTTTGTGCGATGATAATTTGGATTAAACCTGCAGGATTGCGTTTATCTGGAGATCAGAGGCATATTACTCCTGCACTTCCAATGCATTTGGCAGACGTCCTTGCTGTCCAAGAGGCTCCACAACCTATGGCTGATGCATCCGGTAAAAGATGAGAACTCTTACCTGTCTATATTGAAATGTTGTGGATTTTAGCCTGTTGAGATGTGGCATTTATTCATGTTACTTTCAGGTATGTATATGAAGAATACCCCGCTCTCATCAAACAATATGGTTGGCCAGAATTCCTTATTACAGGTTTGGAATTGACATTGCCATTGAAGTGTCATTTCTGACATCTGAATATATGATAGCTTATTTATTCTCTTTTCTCTTTTGCTTTCCCCTTTACTCTAAATATGGGAGGACTTGTTACTATGGATTTTGGTTGCTTTTTCCAAAAGTGTAAATCCATTGTTATGGCTTGTGATTTCTCTGCTTCAATTAGTGTCATGTTAGGTCTGATACCTCTTGGTCTTATGATTTTTAGTTTTCATGCAATCTTCTTGTTGATCTGTTATACCTATGGGAGGAGGATTAGTGTCCTTTTTTTTTTTAATAAGCAATTGTGTCCTTATTTTGATTGTTTGAATTATATTTTGATTTGATTCTTGTGGTATAATCATTTTATTCTCTCACCTAACGTTGTTAATGTAGGGCCCAGGAGCACAACTTATGGGAAGACCAGCCGCTTCTCCATCTGCTGCAACTAGCACCCCTTCTTTTGACAACACAACAGCATCACCAATGCCATATGCCAATTCACCTAGGTCTTCTACAAATATTATGAACACACCATCTCCTCAGCAACAAACCCCTCAGCAGCAGCAGCAGCAACCACAGACTCAGCAGCAACAGCGGCAGAAACAGATGTCATTACCGCAACATCAACAGCAGCAATTCCTTGCTCAGCAACAGTTTAGGCAATCTGCAATGCAAGGAATGGGGCAGGTAAAGCTTGCAAGTCATGTATTGATTTTCTATTTTATACAGGGCAGGTAATCTTTCAGCAGGTTTAAGAAATTGGGTTGCAGTACATTTTATTTGCTTCTTGACTTGATCAATTCAGATATGCATCATTTTGTGATTCTACCCTGTAGTTTTGATTTTTTATTTCTATATTTATGTCAGTTTGTCACTTTCTGAGAAGTACCTCTATGGGTACTCGTATCTAGGAATTAAAGGTTAAGAGTAATTAGAGGATTAGGTTATGGGAAATTTGGGAGGTAGAGAGAGGGGCATTTACGGAATTATGTGTACACCTCTATTGGTATAAATTGTGGAAGAAGCACATGAAATCAGTAGGAAATGTATCAATATTTGGCTATTTCAGTTTTGATGCTTCTACCATGTATTGACTATTGACCTGGTAGTTGGACTTTTTTTTATTTTTTATTTTTTAAATTTCCCAACTTGTATCAGTTTGTGACTTTTGAAGAAGTACCCATGGGTACTCATATCATGATACAATACACAAGACATAATATTTTTTAAAATTTTTGGATGCTGGTATGTAATACTCACGCTCATGCTTATGCACAGATAGATAAATAAATAAATAACAAATGAAAAGGTAAACAACATAAAAGAAAATTTAGTTTTAAGGGCTTCAAATGTAAAGTGTTCATAGAAAAATACATATAAAAGTATAAAACAGCTAGCTTTAAACTAAATTTTCCAGTGCAAATTTAATATCAATCTCCATTTGCATTCAAATTATTAAGATTCCCTATATGCTCTTGAGTTGTTTTGGCATGTTTTGAAATATGTCAGTGTGTTTCAAAATGTTTTGGAATGTTCTGAACAAGAAAAAAAGCTGGATATAAATGTTGGAATGTAATACAAGCATTGTATTAAATATTAACATAACCATGTGCCCCTTTTCTTAGTGTATTTCTGCTTCCTTAGAATTGTTAGAGCTTTAGTATGGAGTTGCTTCAGAAGGACACCTGTAAATATCTTGAGTGCACACACAAACGCACGCCTATCTATTTTTCATAGGCAAAAAAATGAATGTTTACATGACAATGATAAAATGCATCTATATTACAAGCTGGCAGTTAAAATAGTCTTATTTTTATGCTTGTTTAATGATAACAAGTTATGATCCTCTCAGATGCATGGACAGCATCAGATGCAGTTTTCTCAATCACTTGGGCACCAGCAATTTCAGGGTAGGCAACTGTCTTCAGCTCATGTTCAGCATGGCATTGGTCAAAGCCAACTCAACCAAGGAAATCAGATGAATCGCTTGAGCCAGTTCTCAGGTCCTGCTAATAGTGCATTATTCAGTGCTGCTCAGGCAACACCCAATACCCAAATGGTATGATAGTCATGTAACAAAATTTAATGGCAATTCCTTTTGTCAATCACAAAGTTGTGTTTGATATCAGGAAAGAGCAACTAATTTGGTATATAGCTGTGATTATTGGTTCTCTTTGAGGAATTGACTTATCTGAAGGGAGGTCCGTAGTTACAATAAGGAAGAAAGGAACAGTGATTGTAAATCTCTATCACCTGCAGCAATTTAGTAAACTCAATAATTTAGTCATATTCTTCTCCTAACTTTCTCTTTTATAATAATGATCAAGCATCACCTTTTCCCCTCCATTCCGTTTGTTAATTATTAGTTTTCTCTTTTATAATAATGATCAAATATCACCTTTTCCCCTCCATTCTGTTTGTTAATTATTAGTTTCTTTTCTTAAATATTTTTTGGTTTTTTCTTTCATGCTGGCAGCATTTTTTTTTTTAAGAGGGTGTGTGCTTATGAATGTTGTGAGTTTTCTAATTGTAGTTTTTAGATGTCTATATATGTGTTAAAGAATTGATGAAATCTGCTGACAGCTCTGTAGGATGTATATTTTACAATGAAGTTTACTGTATCCCTTCTATTTTCATAGTTTGACTTAATGGGAGCTTGAGTCATATATTTGCTGCATGTTTGGTTAACGGAAAAATATTTTCTAGAAAGGAAATGAGAAATGTACCTAGAAAGAAATTGGGTAGGAACATTTCTCATTTCTTTTCTAAAAAACACTTTTCTACCTACCAAACATGGCATTAGTGCACAAATTATGGAAAACAGTTAAAGTGCGTTGCGTTCTTTAGTAAAATAGTACTGTACGGACCTCCACTGTCATATAGCATCTTTGATTTTACATTGGAAACCACCAAAACCATAAAATCATATTTTTGGTGGTTTTTAACGTAAAACCAAATGTGCATATTTGGCTAGGTCGACACTTAATCTGAGGTATTTGATGGATTTTTCAGCAAGGACCAAGTGATCTTTCTACTTAAAACTAGAATATTTCCCCTTTGCATTCGCAAGGGAGTGACAATTTTTTTAATTTTTTGAATGATAAGGAAAACATCAAAGTTGAAGAAGAAAAAAGTATAAAGCAGCTCAAAACCCAATCTGTACAGTCTAACAGTGTTGGGGACTCTAATTTTAATATATATCGGAGTTACCAGGTTTGGTTATCCTGAACCTAAAGATGAAAAATGTATTCAAAATTTATGGGGTGAAGAATATCCTTTACCTGAATGGATAACGATTTTCCCCCCCATATCTGTGTAGATGCAGTTCTTGAAATAGATCAGCTTCTGCATTTTTTGCTTCTCTTTTGGGATGCAGTTTCTTGTCTTATTTTCTCACCTTCCTTTATTTGTGCTGAGTTGATGTGATTGTGTTAAAAGTTCAACTTCATCCTTCGATGGCGGTCTTGTTCTTCTCGTTTGTGATGGTTTGTCATAATTGTATGTTCTATTTATCTTCAATGATCACTTCTACAATGACTTTTGCTTCTTTATTTGGCAGATTCCAAACATTTCTGGGGCAATGGCTTCACAGTCTCTTATACCGCGGGTGCAGGTTTGTCTCTCATTCTCTGCCTATCGGTATTCTCATTATGTCCCATTCATTTTATTGAAATACATATTTGAGTGATTTCTTTTTTGTTTTTGGCAAACTACTTGATTTGATCATTTATAGTCGTTATTTTTGCCAATTTTAGTTTAACTCACTCTTAGAATGTTTAATTTCCTGTTGGTTCAAGTTATCAGCATATTGCCAAATCTAATAAATTATTTCAAGGGCTTCCTGATTTCGTTTGTGTGAATTTTTTGGCAAGTTATGTTGTCATTTAGTGTCAAATTGCATATGATAAATCATTTTTAATATTATTTGTCTCATTATATGGGTAGGCTAGTCTTTCTTGCCACTCACTTTGGGTCACCCTATTTTGGGTAATTATAATTTTGTTAATGCACCTATTTTGTTTGTCCATTATCTGTGTGTACTGTATCTTTGTCTTGGCTTGCTTCTTGTTAAGACGTATGAAATCATCACATTCTCCCCTGCTATACTTTGTTGCCTCCCCAGTTCGGATTATCTGGAAACAACCCTCAGCGGAGTCATCCTTCCCAAATGTTGAGTGATCAAAGTACGAACTGCATACCTTTGACTTCCTTAATTGATATCTATTCGTTAATAGGAAAATTAATGAGCAGGTCTTTATAATTTTTCTCAATTTTGAATTAGGTTTTTGTAGTTTATTTTGTTTGAATTGAGTCTTATAAAATGATCTGTTGGATTTGTTAATTCCTTTGGTTAAAATCCTTGAATTTTCTTTTAAAAACTATGAAATTAAGAACTTTTATATTTTTATTTAATGCTTGTATAACTTTAGAATTAATTAATTTCATAATTTTTATAATTCAAAATTTATATAATTAGGATATGTCTTCTGAATAATTTTTATAGATATAGAATTTTCATTAAAAACCTAATAAAAAGGTGAACGTTGTATTAAATTAAATTTTCTTTTTTCTTTTTCAGCCAAAAGTATTAAATCGAATTTTCTATAAACTTCAAAAGTGTTTTTATTTTAAAAAATTTAACAATTCATGAATAATTTTAACCTTTAAAGATTAGCATATCTAATAAATCGAACTATAAGGTCTCAATTCAAATAAAAAAAAAAAACTACAAGAACCTAATTCAAAATTGAGGAAAACTATAAGATCCTGCCAATTAATTTTCTTTTTGTTCATTGTGGGCCACATGAACACAACTACTTGTAATGAGGATGTGCCATCATTTAGATTGTGGCTTGTGATGCAACCAAGGATGCCATTTATTCTATGCTGTGAATGTATATGCTGAGTTTGTGAGTTATTCCTGGTGAACCTCATTGCAGTGTTTAATATGGGAGGCGGTAATCCGGGTGGCATGATGCCCTTACAGCAGCAGCAGGCCCAGCAGCAGCAGCAGCATGGTTCACAAGGCGCATTTGGTAACATGGCAACAAATACTCAGAATCTACAACCTGGTATGGTGGCACTTCCGAACACGTCACAGACTCATCCTAATTTCTCTCAACAGAGACAGCAAAATCCACAGTGATGCAATGTGATTATGTAGATGTTTTACAAATATTGTTAACATATATTAGAATCTAGAAACCAGTTGCTATGAACATATAAACGGCTGCCCGTTTCAGTTATAAATATTATATTTTTATGGGAAAAGTTATGATTCAATATTTCTGTTGATTGAATTTTGTTGTCACTCAATCTGACTGGTATTTGTGATTTTTTTTTTCTTGGGGGTCCCTTCTCTTCCTTTTCTTAATTTGATACTGTGATTTAAGAAGTACTATAAACTGCATTGTAGAACGAGGTCAATATTTACCAGATCATCAATTCTACCACGTCACAAAAATTCATGGCGTTGCTGAAGCATCCCCAATAAAGTGTTGTTTGGCATTTAATACTTTTCGAGGAATAAATAGGTGATAGTAATTATGGTGGAGTATTTAGAAAATACCTTACCCTTAAAATGTTGGTAAAATAGGAATATCACATAGAATATACAGATATTCATATATCTGCATATTAAAGAGTAGTGCTTCACACTGCAAACTGAAATGAAAAAGGTAGATAAATTCTTACATAAGATGTCCGCCTTTAGGATTTGTTTGTGTTTGATAGTTCATAATAATGCATTTGAATGCACGTTTGATGAAAGTAAACTTAATATATATTTTGTGAATTTGATGAGCTAGTCAGTCGATGCAAGTGTATGAAAACGCGTATAGATTCAAGTATTGCATGCATATTGTTCTGTGATTTGTGAGTTTCTTTTCAGATACATACTAGTTAATGATAACGAAAAAGAGTCCAGGAATGAGAAAGCTGTGTTAGCAACTGAACGAATGTTACTCTGAATCTTGAAATGAATCTGAAATTAGAAAAGATTGAGAGAACATTCTGGTCAAAGTAAGGCTAAAATATGAAAACATGTTTTGTCTTCTGCTCTGTATCATTGAGAATTTATGTCGCGGTTGGATGATTCAAAGAATCTGATACAACAGCTGCAGCATCTTTGCACAAACCATTCTAACCTGTTTCATTACTCCAAAAATTTAAAACCAATGAGTCCTATATGATCATATATGCCTGTGTGTGTGTTTTTGTGAATCCTCAGCGTTTGACTGGTTGGTGTATGCTTTGATATTTTAAATAGGAATGTCTGGTTTTTGAATTAAAGAAACTAAACCTACCAGTCAAGTAACTTCAAAACAAAATGGCATTTAAAGGGTTTTCTGGCACTTGTCTTGTAAACAAGGAATAAAAAAAAAATCTAATTGGTCTGATTATTCACGCTCTGCAACTGATGAAACATTAATCTGTTCTGTAAAATCTAATTGGTATATGCTTCATGCCAAAGAAAATGTTCATGGGAAGTTCCTGATGCCAAACCAAAACAATTTTTTTTTTTTTGGCAGTCTGTTAACTTCTGATTAATGAAAAGTGACCTATAATGGCAAACTAATTACAGAAGAGAAAGAGCTTACAATTCTTGCAGGCATGTACTCTTAGGTTCCAATTCTTGAGATTTCCGGAGGTCCAATGAAAAGACTGAAGGCAAATTATCAGTAGTTGGCGGATCTTCTTGCAGAAGGGGAATCTTCTCCTGCTCAAGAGAAGCCTGGCTGGAAGGTGCCGGCGAGAAGGGTGGTGAAGGAGTTGATGATGCCGAGATGGAGTACTGGCGGTTGCCCGGTCCGAAACTAACAGGAAGGGGTGAGGATGGAGTTGGAGGAGATGATGTTGGAGAGTCATAGTTAGGGTTCATAGTATTAGTATTAAGCAATAGCATTGAACTCTCTCTTTCAATCTCACCTTCCTTCTCCTTCCCGTACAAAGATAAGCCATTAACTTGTTCTGCTTCAAATTTTCTCACCCTTATGCCAAAATTTTCCCTCTTTTTTATTTTTTTTAAATCTTGAGCTTTTGGTATAACCTACCAGTCTTGCCTCTTCTCTTCCTCCATCCCTCAGCTACTCTTCATTCCTTTCTTGTCACTTTGACTTGAGGTATACCTTTCAGTTTCTTCAACCTTTGATTCTCTTCATCACAATACCCTCTGAACCAACTTCTTGGTATTGATTCTATGAAGCATTAAACTTCATATCAGATGAAACTCAGCTTGACGAATTCATAACTTGACAGAGAAATTCAGGGAATAGGATGGTTTGGTTAGAGGGGTATGTGTTCGTGTTCAAATCTTGAACTTGAAATTCCATTATCGTTATCAGAATATCTCGCAAGTAATTTATGAATGTGACTCGTGGAATTTATCTTAACCCTAATTATGAAGAGTTCTCAGGTTTCAACTTATCTTCAGCTCTTTGGCTAGATTTTCAGCTCATAATTTCCTATAACATTGTACAGCCACCTATGTTCATCTCGCGGCCAGCAAGCTAGCACCATGGATTCGTTTAAGAAGGGTCTTGTTTTTCTCTATGGTGTTTGAATGGTGAGTATGAGAGTTCAGTGAATCAAAAAGCGAGACTCGCTGTTCTGATATTGACTCGTTGACTTGTTGGTAGCCAAACCATATTGACTCACTCGTATGGTCGCTTTCTTCAAGGACGATGATCCAATGGAACGGAAACAGTAAGCAGATCTGTCAGTACTCTTGAGGGGAATTAAAAAAAAAAAAAAGGCAACAGGAAGAAATGCAGTTAGATCTTAAAATAATAGTTAGATTTCAGGAAAAAAATAAGAAAAATAATTTTCAAATATCTATTTAAACAATTATAAGTAGAAATCTCAATTATGATTATAAAGTGAGAGTTATGTTTAAAATATTAATGTCTGGGTAGTAATTGAGGTTGTTGAATTTGTGTTGTGTCTGATATTGACTTACTCTTATGACCGCTTTCTTCCAGCACGATGATCCAACGGGAGCATGGTGGCAGGTCTATCAATGTGTCTGATAATTGATATAAAAATGAATTCAATGTAATTAAGCAATCGAAAAATCAATGTAATTAAAAAAATGGTGGAAGTCTATGCTATTCTTTTTTCCCAATGAATGTATATATATTTTATAAAATATTTTTTAAAAAATTTTAGGACTTTTCAATGTTATTGTTTTTCCTAGGAGATATGAGACATGTTTTTCAAATATTGTGCAAAATGTGAGGTAAGTGGCTCTCTTTATAACTTATAAATAATACAGTTTGATACTTTTTGCATTATATTAGTATTTTATTGACATATTAAACTTGTTTTTAAAACTCATTTCCATTTCCTTGAAATCAGTTCACATATGTCAAATATAGCATTAGTGCCAAGGCTATGATATGAGAACATGTACATGACTTGATTTGCTGGAAATCATTGTTGGGCGTGTTGATGATGATGAGTTGAGTGGCATTAATGCCTTCTCGATAAAAGTTCGTTCATTTATTTATAAACAAGCTTGGATGATCTCCTTTCTCCATGATGCTCACTTCCCATTATTTTAGGAAGCTACTTTTTCACTTGAGCTATTTTATTATATCTTTATTATAAAATACTTTTAATTAGCTTATCAAAATTAAAAAAAAGTTGTTAAATTATTAACTTTATCTAAAAATATAATACACTTTTAAATTTATCTCCATTTAAATAAATTTTTTAAATTTGTATTATATTCTCTCTTATAGTTAATAAGTTTAAATAAGGGTGATATTAAAAAGAATGTAATTAATGACCCATTAACTGTTTTATATTAAAGATAAAAAAATATTTTTAAAAAGTATTCTATAATAGAGATTGGAGGGAGTACTTTATTTGCTGTCACATTTTGAATGACATAGTTGGAGCATGTAGTGAGAGACATTAACTTGATACCCAAGATTTCATCCCACTTTCTTTCTTTCTTTCTTTTTGATAAGAGGGTCAAATGATAAATTAAAGCTAATAAAAGTTACAACTCATAAGTTAGTAAAGGTAAAGAAAAGAAAGAAGGAAACAAAGGAGTACAATCAATGGTGGTACTAGGATCCTAGGCTACGAGGTGCAACATTTTTTAAATTAATAATTTAAAAATAACTAAAAAAATTGGATCCCAAATCTTTAAATTTAGACCAAGAGGTGCAAAATATTTAGGTTAAGGGATGCAAAATATTAGAATACATGAACTTTTCTTGTAATTTTCTCCAAACCCAAGAGGTGCATTTGCCCCCTTTGGCTTCAATGTAGCGCTGCCTATGAGTACAATGTCAATTAATTTGTTCAATTGACCCTAAACTAAAAGAATAGAGCATATGTCGAATGTCTTGTAGAATAACACTCTCTTCTTGGTGAGATTGTGAAAGCAAGAAATTTCTATTATGCAAGATAATATTCAAACCTCCCAAACTCAATCCTCCTATAATAGATTGGTATCCTCCTGTAATAGATTGGTTGCTAGTATCTATCATCCACTGTAAAATATTGCAAAAACAAGCCTGCAAAAAAAATGGCACGAAAAAGAAACGGAAGATTTTGTAATATGAAGCCATTGCAGCTGTTTCCTCCAAGATAGAGCACTGTTGCATAAAAGATAAGGTTCCTTCTCTTGAATTTTGATAGTCAACCTATAAGAATCATTTGTAGAATCTATAGCAATTGATGAATAGCAAACATTGATGACTTTTCTTGAGGAAGAAATTTCCAACTTATTATTTTTCTTGTACTTAGATAAATTTGTGGAAGAATTTCAAGTACAAGAAAATATAAGAAATTTGATTTGTTCCTAAAAAATCCTTAATTTCTTGATATGAGATTAAAATTTTCCTCTTGTGTAAGGCTTGATTCCTTATCATCCAAATAAAGTGTAGAAGAGTAAAAATTTCCTCAATCACAGAAAGATAATTGGTTCTATATAATTTATTTGAAACTCTTAAGGCTCATTTAGTACGCAGTATTAGAAGATTGGGATTGGGATGGAGTAATCCCACCTTTCACGTGTTTAGCATGAATGATTCACCAATACTTGGGATTGGTTAGTGCTACTTAGGTGGGAATACTAAAACCCACCACCCGTGATATTACTTGATTCCACCAAAATTAATTTTGGGATTGATTTTTTAAGATGAAAATGCCCTTCTAATCTCTCCCCACCTTCATCTCCCTCCCGATGTGCTAGCAAGCTATCTCTCTTCCTCCACTTCTTCTTCTTTGTCACAAGTCGTTACCTACTGCTGTCTCCATCGCAAGTCATTCTTGTTGCATCTCACTTCCTTTCCTCTACCACTATTTCTTTATCGTTGAAGTTCTAGTGTCAATGGAAACTTCTTCACGGTCCATTGTGTTGCTTGGGATTTCTATTTTGGCAAAGGTAGTAGTCAAAGAGTAGAGGCAATGAAGCCAATTCAATCTGGTAGAGGCAACATGAAGAGTGAGAGAATGGATAGCTTACCATGGATTGAAGCTATGGATTGAACTAGGCATATTGTCCGCTGAAGCCTTCATGTGTAGAGCCTGGTGGAGAGCAAAGGCAATGGCGTCTCTATGCTGTTGTGCTCACTCTTTGGGAGAAAGTGAAGGAGAGTGATCAAAGTTAGGGTTACAATTTTTTTTAATTTTAAGAGGTATTATAATCTTTTCATAATTTATATTTAATTGTAAAATAAAATAAAGGTAAGAATTTCTTACAAATATTACCTTATATCAAACATAATCTTAAAGTCTCATTTCCACCACCAATCTTAATCCTAATTCCAATTATAATCCCTCAAATTGAGGTTTGCGTATCAAATAGGGCTTTAGAAGCCAGTAAATTAAACCTTGCTGAGAAATTTCTTTTGAACAAATTCCCACTGAGCAAAACCAAATAGCTTTGACAAAAGAACATTCACAAAAAAAAAATCTATAGATTTGAGCCTTTTAAGTTGGATTTGGGCTTTAAAAGTTTAAAATTGTTGTGCAAACAATACACCCATGCATACAAATTTCACTGGAGTTGTTACAAAAAAGAAAATGGCTAGAGTTTTCATAGGTCAATTTTGTGCAAATATTTATATTGATTCTGCTTCCATGCCTTTCTCAAGTAAGGAACATGAAGCCTTGGGATAACTCTTTCTATCATGGTTGTTGTTGGATGTTCCATTTGGGGATCTAGCTCTTTCTTTTAGGAGATCCTTGGCTAAGAACAATGACTTTTTTTTATGAAAAGCTCAAATGGTTAATATCGGTGTCTCTTCAAGATTTGGCTCAAACTCCTTAAGACTTAACTTGCATGGACCTAACTCCTTAAGACTTAGCTCTTTTAGGTGTAAGATCTTTATCTAAAGAGTCAAGATATTTTGTCCAGGAGTTGGCTCTTTCATGTTTTTTTTTTTTGGGATGAAAAGTGTAACTATATTTCACTAGGAAAAAAACTATATACAAAGAATACGAAGATCAATTCCTCTCATCATTGACTACCTCTATGTTAGGAGGGAGTTGATGATCAGAGGTCCAAAATATACTATTTGTAAGTCCTATATTAATAAGATTACATAAGTGATGATTATCATTAGCATTGTAAATAGAGGAGGCAGCATTCCCAAACTGTGTGATCAAAATTTGGTTTCATATACAATATCAAAGAAAGGGTGGCCAGTTTGATTATCTCGAACAAGGAGATTGTAGCATTAGACATTTTGAATACAAACTTTCACACCTTGAACTCCTGTGTTCCTACAGGCTTGTAAACCCAATCTAATGTCATTGATTACAGCAATGTCATGGGGGTAAAAACACATTTATGGCATCAAAACCATATAACCACTGCTTGTCATGACTCCTAATAATTCCAACACTCCCAAGCATACCGTTTTGTTAGGTTCCCCCCCTTGATTATGAGGCGAGCATTCTTTTAGACATGCATGTGAGGGTTAGTTCTACATACCCTAACAAAAAATTTGCCATTTAGC